CAGTAGCCGGTTACCAAGATTACGTGAAGTACCCTCAGAAGGTCTGCTAGATGATGTTAATGCAGCACTACACACACACACACACACACACACACACACACACACACACACACACACACACCACTTGGTGATGATGAGGTGCAGGATTATTCAGGTTGATGAGAAGATTTGCATAACCGCTTACTCAGCTCCTGTGTCTGAGTGTGGCCGATGTCATATTGCGTCACTTTAGAAAATACAATCTGCTTGATGAGAATGAAGAAAATGTCAGAAAATGTCCCACATGCCCTATAATCAAACAGTTACTATATTGTGTTCTGAAACTGTAAATCTGTAAGTTTTGACATTTCATTTGGCCATATCTTTAGAGTCTAGTGCATATATATTCCTGTAAATACCCTAACAAGGTTATAAGGTTTGTGTCATTTATAGTAGAACCATATTTAGTATTTTAGGGAAAAAGTGGATTATTGTCTGTAGCAACAATGTCTGTAAAAAGGGTACAACTGCAGAGATGAGGTGGAATCAAGATGACTACAGCTTAAGAAATTGGAAAAACCTATATTAAGTGCTTATTGTTTATTTGTGATAATTCTGTATAACCTAGGATTGTATTTTTATATTCAGGATAATTGTAAGAATATAGGTTGTTAGTTAATAATTAGGGAATATAAAAAATCTGTCTGTAATGTTATACACAATTTAAGAAAACCTTTTTTATACTGCATGAGCTTATAACATGCTTGGGGTCTTAGCTTCATGGGTAGTAACAATTGCATCTCTAAGATCATTGGTGATGTCTTTACCCCTTGGCACTGTGTAAACACAACAATGCTCAAGATGAAACAAACTTCCAAAATTTCCTTGATTTTAAGACTTGCTGGGCACCGGACGATTTTAAAAGTTCTGATACCTAAAAACATTTAGAATTAAAAGAGGTACGTTCTTTTTCACATGACTCTATCAAGGGCTGGGTCTGTGACCCAGCGTTTTGAGTTTATTTTTGTTTTTTTGTGTTAAGTTGATGATAGTACGTTCTTGTGTTATTGTTCGCTAAGATTTAGTTGAGTTTTAGTCTAGTTTTTGTTTCAGCTATGTCTCTTTGGTTATGTGTCTTGTTTCCTGTCAAGTCTGTCACGTGTTTTGTGTCACACTTCAAGTTCTGCTCAGTCTGAGAGTAGATGATGATGAAGCTAAGATTAGAATAATAAAAGCTGAGCCTAAATGTTGAGCTGAGAAGCGAGTCTGAGCTGTCCTGAAATGAACTAATCCTAAGTTAATATTAAGGCCTTTCCTGTCGTTCCAACCTCAGGGCAAACTTTAGATTCTCCCCAACTTGTGGTAAGGTCATATGAGCAACAAAGAACAACATTGGGAATTGTGTTTCCTGATGGGTAATGAGCCTATAAGCTGCATGATGAGACTTCAAGTGCAATTTGAAATACTATAGTTGGCTGCAAATAATAGGTGGAACAAAAATAGAAAATAATATTTTACTGAGAAGCAATAGTGCATAGATACAGCAATAATAAGTTCCCTAAACTATATGTGTGTGTTTATTTTAACTGTAGTTTGCAATTGTGTTTGCGCATGTAGCTATCTGTCCATACCTTGCTACATGGCATTATCCAGTAGGCAATAGCCAGGAATGGGAGGCCTACAGTTACTCCCAGGACTGTCCAGCACTTCACACCAATGGACTGCTGCCTCAGGCCAGGTAGATTCTCATACCAGATAGTCAGCAGTTGCTGCTGGCAGTTCGGATGAGCAACAAACTGAAACAGAAGAAAATAAACAAGAAACTTAAATCAGTGGAGAACGAAGAAAGATGAGACAGTTTGGGTACAGGGCAAGGATGGTTAAAGGATGAGAAAGACAAACAGGAAAGGGCGAGTGGTGCTAAAAGCAAATAGCTAGTGATGCGAGAATTTTCAAGGAACAACTCACACTAGCTTCATATGACAAAAAGCTGCTTACATAGTCAGGCCGAATAGAAGTATAGAAGTTTTACATTAAGGCAGGTCGTCTTTAATTTAAACCAGAAACAAACCTTGAATATTTTTCTCCAACTTTAGACATGAATCTACTGGGACGGACCCCTTGTAATCTCAGTAGCTCTAGTTATCTAGTTATAAGTCCCACTCATGAAAATCCTCTCATCCAAAATGTGCATCTGCAATAACAAAGGTATACAGCTGAAGGACATAGTTTCAGCCAAGGCCTGACTCACCACGCCTGGGACAGGCTGTATGATGTTGAAAGTCCTTAAACATTCACTGACTGCAGGATATATCAATGATGTGATGTATGTATTTTATAAAATGTGGGTTTTGTTTTGTTTGTTTTATTAGCACACAAAGAAGATGACTATAACTAAAAACGATATTTCAAATATTAAAAATATGCTACCCAGGCACACACAAGTGGCCAACACTGACCCTTTGGTTAAAGTGGAAAACCCAAAATTTAGATGCATTGGGAAAAAGGGATGTCTAAGAATGAACAAAGTGTTCGTAAATATCGAAAAAAGCAGCCGGTTAAAGTCCCAGGAAAGCAGCAGCAAAGCATTCCTGTGTGAATGTCTTTCAAGCTTTTAATAAATTTCCTCTGCCAGTGTGTGTTCTTGGTATGTTACATCTTTAATGGATGGAATAAAAAATGGTTTCAAGCAGTGGGTCTTGAAAATTGAAAATAAAGAAAGTAGGAACATTGTAAGACATGAAATGTTTTTTTGCCTCAATATCATGAATTGATGGCAATTATGTGTCTTTCAAAGATTTTTTAATCCTTATTATCTTAGTGAAAGAAAGGATATAATGATAAATAGAAAGTTGAGTGAGAGTCAAAAGAAGTCGCTGTAGCTCACGTGTTTTGTGCGCTTAACGTTCAGTCACCAAGTCAAAAATCTTTATGTATAGATTTTTACAACATGTAAGCTAATATAAACCCCAAAAACCCAAACTGAAAACGTCATTTGAACCAGCACTTTTGACACATGCATTTGTATACACCATTTACAATCTACCACAGCTGGGCTAATTGCTGTGTAACACATATATCTGACATTTAAAACCATAAAATAAGGCAATTAAAGTCCAAATATTACCTTTGACACAAGATTTACTCTAGTCTCTGAAAGACCACCTGTAGAAAGTGTATCTCAGTACACTGGACACAAATCACTTACAGGGTTTGTGTTATATTACAGAATGGACATCAGCGAGATCAGGCCCAACATTTCGATTATTCGTATACTTTGTCTTTAAAGTGACAAATGCTGAAAATCCAGTGGTAGTAAAAGGTAATAGAGACATTAATGCCTTGATTTCAAAGCAGAACCACAAAAACAATTCCACCTGGCTGTCCTGCTGCATACAATGGAAACTTGCCCATTACGGTGGGCAAATTGATTCTGTATGAAGCTGGATTGCACACTGAGCACAGAGAAGTCCTCCTGGAGTTGGCCCCTCAGGGTTTGCAGGTTTCTCAGATGACATCTGTCAGGGAATTCAGGATTTAACCCTCCTCTTTACTGAGAAATTCACACCTATTTTCAAAGAACTCAGAGCTGCTCTGAAGCCTCCCACTGTCTCTTCCATAGTGTGGCTTCCGTCTTACTGTGGACATAAAATACAGTCACTGCTTTTCCTTGGAAGAACAGTTTGAGTTCCTTACATAGTTGAAAATGTCACCAAATATGTCAACTTAAAAAGCAACTTAAAGCCAGAGTATTGATCTAATAGTCCACAATAAATGTCCTGACTTCTTCGCCTGGTTTAAAACATCAATAGAGCACCTTAAAATATGAAAACCGTCAGATTTCAGTATGCAGTGTGAAGGGTGGTCATTGTCTATCTCACGTGGATAATATGTTAAACAGCCATGACTACTGTGGATGACAAAAACGTATTCTTCTCAAGCTTCATCTAAAATTCTCCTTGACATCTTTGTGGTCAGTGTCTCTCTGTGGACACAGGTGTGGAAAGCAGAGCCATGTTTTTGACCTTTTCACAACTCCAGTGAATTATCCAATCCCAAATTATCCAAAAGAAATTGTGTTATTAAGAATAGCTTGAAGGTCCAAGATTCAAGTTTATTATGATGCGCTTTCAAATAGTTCAGTGCTTATTTAATGTCCACACAGAATCTGATGGAACTGTATCAGCAAAATTGCTCTAGTCAAGCAATACACATTTCATTCTCCCACCATTCCAGCTTTTGTGCTTTCATGGTTTTTAAGCCTTTCATTTGTTATTAAAGTTCTAGAATTGATCTAAATGCAGGTCAAAATGGATGCAGACAAAGTTTAATTTAACAAGAAGGTATATCACAGGATATAACATGAACTGACAGGTAAATTTAAAAAATGCAAAACAAGACAGCAAAGAAATAGCAACAGGTGGTGGTTAGCACATTGAATTAACAAAGACAGATGGAATGTCGGGACTATACTTGCACAGGGGGAGATGGAAATATTTAAGCCTGGATAGCCAATGAGAAGGTGGGAAAGACAAAGAAGTAAAGAAAACATAGTAAAGAGACAGGTTACCAAATTAAAGAGGACACAATAAATATCAAATGTCTCAAATCCAAAAAGTGTTTTAGAGAAGGCTAAATGCTGGTGGTATTGGGGAGAACTTTCTTCAAGTTTCCCATTATGTTAAGCAAAAACGTATGGGTTATAACCCACAGGGAAACATAAACAACAGCAAACAGGAAAATCCCCTCAGCAGGTGCAGTGGTCTGCACTTCCTTTATGGGGAATTACAGTTTTTAATTATGAAAAGTATACATGATACTTCAATACAACTAAATTAACAAATGCCAAGAGGGTAAAATTGACATGATTAAATATTACATATTTGCGAAAGGGCATCTGGTGCTAATTTACTTTTCCAAGTATCTCAAGTAGCTTAGTGTCCATTCTGAATATCTATTTCTAGTACTAGAGTATTGTGTATTCATAAAAATCTGAATATATTACTACCTAAATGAAGTCAAGTGGCAACCTTTAATACATTTGTGTTTATGGTTTCCACTTGAATTCATTTAAAAAGAAAAATGGCAACAAGCAGGATGGAAAATCAATTTAATATACAAAGTGCAAAAGAAAGAAGGCAATAAGAAGTGGTGCATTTTCACATTAATTACAGAGTTTATTCTAAGTAAGGCAGTGATAAATGAAAGCCAGCAAAGGTCTTACAACGCAGGAGAAGATGGATGTTTTTCTTCCAGCTGGAGGAAGGATGTGGACAACCAAGCAATCAATGTTCAGTCAGCAGTCAGCTAGTGGAACAATCAAACGCTGTGTTTGTGTGTTTTGTATTCACGTCTAAGATTTCAGCAACACCTCACTTCTGGTCATGCGTGCTCTCCCTCGATTTCTGTTCACTTTATTGGGTTCACCCAGTCAATCAATGCCTATCCATCACTTCACCAGTGACCCTTGATCATCATGTTTGAGGAACATTTATCTGAGCTGACAATTGACATTTTCTGCTTCCTCCACCGATTGAAACAAACACATACAATTTGCATATGGCTGAAAAGCCTCAACCAGTAATACATACACCACCACCCATTCAGTTACTATAACTTACCACTGATCAGTCCATCAAACCAATAACCCCTGACATGAAAGCCTCCTGTGTCCATCTACATGCTCTACATGCAGTCACGCTCCACCTGGTTTCCATGGCAATCACACCCTCCCTCTCCTCTTGCCTGGTGTAATTAGCTGCCTGGTATTGGTCATGCTCTCTTGTACAGGATACAAAAAAGCAACCTGTTTAATGCCCAAAACACACACACACACACACACACACACACACACACACACACACACGTATACAAATACACCTGTGCACATGCACAACTACACCAGAGAATTACCTGATTAAAGAAAACATGAGGCACATTAGGATCAGACAGGAACACGTGTGAGTGAGAGAGAATGGCAGGGCCAAATGGGGAAAAGGGATTTGGTTTGACATTTTCCTGAGCACCTCTGCACAGCAGGGATTAACTTTTACACACCGGCCAGTGAGTTGTTTACGAAAGGGTCCTGTGAGTCCACATTCAAAACAACACTCAAGCATACTGTACTGGAAATATACTGCACAAACAGATCAGAGAAACTAGCTTAGTTAGAAATAAGTCGGGTTACATGTTAAACTGCAATAAATAATGTATTTCTATCCATGCCATGGGAATTAAAGGTAGTGTGTTGCATTGGGTTGAATCATATCTGTCTAATAGACTCCACTTTGTTCATGTAAATAGGGAGTCTTCTTTACACAAATACACACACTAACATTTATTATGGATTTCCACACGGTTCCTTGCTAGGACTAATTCTGTTTACATTGCTCATATGTCCCTTAGGCAGTATCATTAGAAGGCATAGTATACATTTTTATGCTATGCAGATGATACTCAGCTATTTCTATATATGATGCCACACACCAGTTAGCTAGCAATGTCTTAAAGACATGAAAACCTCGATGACCTCTGAAGTTTCTGCTTCTAAATTCAGATAAAACTGAGGTTATTGTACTTGGCCCTAAAAATCTTAGAAACGTGGTGTATAGCCAGATACTCTGGATACAATTACCTTGGCATTAAGTAACAGAAAGAGGAATCTTGAAACCAATATTTTCACCAGGATTTGTTCTTAAATGTCCATATTAAACAAATACGCAGGACTTTCTTGCATTTTTACAAATATCTCTAAAATTGGAAACATCCTGTCTTAGAGTGGTACTGAAAAGCTAGT